CATTTCTGAGCCACTAATGTCTACTAATGATTTCAAGTCAGAATGCACACACAGCTGGATATTCAAACCCCAGGTTAAATTTTGTTTTCTGACACATCACCTGTTTTGAGTTTGAAAATAAGACTGTGCTGTGAAAGATATTCAAGAAAGAGGAATATGCAGTAATGAAAAAGTTCACTTCTTTGACCTAACTGCTACCAAATCCTTGGGGGAAAAATGTTTCCCTTTATCTCTGAAATCAACCTGTAGAAGTTTCAGTTCCTGAGGCAGGTATAACTACAGTTGTTATGTATGCTATTAAAACTTCTGCAAAGCCATTTTTCTTGAAGGGTAGGAAAATTGTTTGGGGCTAAGTTGGGRCTAGTTTGATTGCCTCTGATATAAACATCTCTGAATTATATTTTCTTACATGCACAAGTAACCTAAGAACCTCAAATCAACGAAGAAAGCAGATTGACTAGGCACAATAGACTTTTTTTTTTCAAAAGCAAAATTGAGTACAATAATAACAGCTTTCAGAAACTGTGAAAATGTCAATGCAAGGAAATTAGTTCTAACACAAGCTACGCCATGGAATCTTATTGAAAAAAGTCTCATTTGAACATGGGACATTTAAGTACTGAATGTACAAGGATAAACACAAGGAACTCACAGGAAGCCATTATTTACAATACGGRAAAAAAAAAGCACATTGTAATGATTGTAGATTTGAGTGCAAAATATTTTGCCTGATTTTTGTTTCATTGCCTCTTTGTCATTGGGAGGCCTGTCTGATGATTTGGGTAAGTCAGTATGGGTGAATATCTTTGTGTTTGCTCAGCAGAGAACAACAGTTGCAATATGTAAATAGGGCGCCTCTTCCTTTTGGATGCCTTGGGATATGTATAATAGATTAAGTTGGCTTTGTGCAGAGCAAACAGGTCTGTATTACCAAGAATATGAATAATGTCAGTTTCCATAATTGCTAACATCTGGCTTTCCATAAATCTGTTAAATTGCATGGAAGCAGAATTAGATTTCTGTGTCATAAGTAAAGCAATTACTTGGAACTCCATAGGCAATATGGTCCTATATTCAACTGTGAAACTCTTTCATTCTGGAGAGGTGAAAGCAAATCCTGCTTTTGTACCCTATTTTTATTATGCATGCTAGGTACATTTGTCTTTATGCTCATTTTTTTTTTAATTTACAAGAGGAATACACTGCCAATATGTTTGCAACTTTGTAAATGCAAAATAACCAAATATTTGAAAAGCATATTATACTTTGCATTAATTGCTAACTTGGAGATTATTTCAGAGGAGATCATACAGTATAGATCCTTTTGTAGGCACTGGTAGTGGATTGGCTGAAATTGAATGTCCAGAATATTTTTGGAGTGATTTGTTAATGGGTTTTCATCTGCTCATATTCTCAAACATTTTACAGGAAAATGGAGTGCTTTTTTCTGGGGATGGGAGTTGTCTTCCTATCTCAGTGTATTACTATTTTGCTGTATTATGCTACTTTAAACTAGACCCAAAGAGCTTTCACAGATGAGAACTTAATAACAAAATGATTCCTCTAAAGAGTAGGCTTTTCTTATGCCTTGTGCTCATTGAATATTCTAAAGACCAGATTTCAGTACAGTGGGCTTTATAATAGTACTAATTTCCTGGATTTGGTTAATTCAGTTAAATGAATATACTGACCATCCACAGTATTTTATGTTGTTGTTGTTGTTGTTGTTGTTATTTTGTTATTATTGTGGCACTGGGAAGAGAAAGAGAAATGAAATGTAGTCCTTGCCCTCAATGATCTCACTGTCTATGGACATATTAAATATGTAACTCTTTAGAGTTGACCCTTACTATGGAATTGTGTATAAAGTACATAGAAATCAAAGTTTATATTGGCTGTCTAGCAGAATGAGGGATGGGGATGGTTAATCTGTAAATCTGGCTTTTGAAGACTGTGTAGGATTGAAGCTAACAGAGTAAAGAAAGTACTTCTCAATTAACTTATTCATACCTCACCTTATTCTATAGAGATTATTAAAAAGTAGAGAAAATATATGTTCCAAGACACAAACACAGAAATGGAATGGTCTGTTTGTGATCTTCCATTGATATATATAAATACATACACACAGATGTGCAAAAATTACATGTTTATGGTATACAACATGATATTTTGAAATAAATATTTATTGTGAAAWAGCAAATTTAAGTTAATTTATGCATTGCTTCATATACTTCCTTTTCATTGTGGGAACACAAATTGTACTCTCAGTAATTTTCAAGAATACATTACATTGTTAACCATTAACTGCAGTCACCATGTTGCACAATAGATCTTGAACTTATTTTGCCTAACTAAAAATTTGTATTTATTGCTTTTGAATAAAARAAGGAAGGAAAGAAGATAACAATTGAAGTTTTCAGGGTTTACATGAAATGCTGATAGCTTGAATTGTCTATTATAAGCACTGGAGAAATTCTGAAAGGTGGTGAGCAGAGGAGTGACACAGACAGCCTGCTTTTTAACTGCCACTGTCCTATGGAAGATATTGAGATCAGTGGCTCTCACCTGGCTGAACAGAGCCCAGATATCTGGATCCTGCTTTATATCAATTAAATCTGTTCCTAGGGGTGGTAAGTTAGAGCATTGGTACTTATACAAGTCTACAAATATTTCCACTGTGCCTACAATCAAAAACCAGTATATTAGAATRACAACTGGCTGGAGGGTGAATTGAAGGCTAATGCTAAGTCTCTCAGTAATGAATATGAGGATTGTAACCAACAGCTTGAAGAAACCTGAATTTTATTATTTTATTTCCTACATAATGGCACATCTATTTCTCTCTCTATCCATTCATGCTTCTATCTATCTATAGATGTTCCTAGATATGCAAACTAGGTTATAAATATAATCATAGAAATATAAAGCTGCATATTTGTAATTAAGTTTCTTTCAGCAAAACTTAGGAGTAAGAATAATGGAAATGTGTGCATTTAGTGTTGTTCCAAAATAGTATGTGCCTGAATGCTAAGCCATATTCTACCAACTGTTATTGAAATTGGAGTTCAAAAGAGGTTAGTGATTATTGCAAATTAGCGTCATATTAGCAGATGATTATCTGAGAAGGTGGGGCTTGAACTTGGTCTTTAATGTTTACCTTTATTAAATCAAGAAACCATGTAATTGACCTTATTATATTATCCATATTGTAATGTTCAAGAGACTGTGGATTGGGTAATATCATACACGTAGATGATAAAGGAGGATTAGATAGGCTAAATGATGTGTCCTAGGGCTTAGTCTTGTGATGTGTAAGGTGAATTGGACATGGTAAACACTGAATTAAAAGGAAGTGCTTGGTTTCAAACATGAGTCCCCTGATTTCTTCATTCAATGCTAATTTCAGTTGGGAAGAATTAGAATTGGAGAAGAATAATGAGGAGATGAGTGAGACAACTAGAAAGGAGCATCATATGTTAAGTGCATTCAAAATGGAATGGACATGACCAGTGACCCTGAGTGGGGAAGAGGAGAGGGGAGATGCCTGACTGTGGTTGATTTAGAATCCAGGCATCATAATTTGGGATCATTGCCATAGTCTTCAAAGATAGAATCACTGTTCATTAACTAGGCCCAGGATACAATCCCTGTTCTAATGTGTGCTAACTGTATGACCAGTTAACCTCTCTGTACCTCAGTTTGCCCTTGTGAAATGAGAATAACTATTTGTCTTATGATCTTATAGTATAACTCATGAAAAATAACTTTGAAAAGCTGTGGGACTATATATGCACATATAGTTTTATGTTATATGTGTGTATGTATAGACATATATGTTTCGTAATTCTGGCAAAATTGATATTATGCCAGAAACGGCTCTGTGAACTTTTGTGGAACATACCACTACTGATTTTTTTTTTTTTTTTTAGGTTCTGGTCCATTATCCTTAACCACATGCTTATAACTTTACACATAATTGAAGATAAACTTTAGGATGTAGAATAAGTTATTGTTGTAATATTCTACCAGTCTACAGGTATCAAGTCCAGCAATTAGTATTTTATCAATAGTCACCTATGAGTACTTCTGTAACTTCAACGAGTAGAAGTTACTGGGTAATCTATTTTATCTCAAATGAAGGTAGACATTTCTTTTTTTTCTTAAGTCTTCAAAGGTGGAATCTTCTGCCTTGTGAGGTAATGTATTGACTGCTTGGAAGCAGTACAAGCCAGGGCTGGACAGGTATGTACGTGGCTGAGATGGTGTTAGGGTCACTCAAGCTTTAASGGTCAGAATGGACTGACTGGATTTATGTTTTCCTTCAACCTTTGGCTTTCAGTTAAAACAGCACCATATATACRTGTCTTTTATCAGCATCCACACCATGCCCTACTGTAGCTATGATATTTTTTTTAAGGGGAGCACAAGTACAGTTGGCCATTAGAATGAAAGCTTTTGATCAGATAAGATACCTGCTAAGAATTATTCCCACTTCTTTTAGCCTTGACTTCAGGATCTTGGGGCAATCTAATTGGGGCAGGTTGCCCTAATTGCTCACTTGTTCCTACTCAGTGGCTTATCTATGCACACATTTTCTAAAAGACTTAGGTCTCCATGGGGTGTATCTACAGCTAATGAATTAACAGTGTTTATGGCCACTGGATAGATGAGTTCTTGAACATATCCTAAAGGCAGTTCATAGCTGCTACTGGATATATTGGTAATTGGAATCAAGCGCCTGTAAGTTTGGGTCTCAGACCTGCCACTTCCTAACTGTATGACAGCAGAGGCGTAATTTAACTCTAAGAACCTMAGCTCTATTATTTGCAGAATAGGGACAAGAACAGATCCTTCCACAGGGAGCTGCTTTGCAGAGTAAATGAGATAACACATGTTACCCATCTAGCACAGGTAAATGCTCAATAATTGTAGCTAATGTTTTTGCACATTGTTGTTATTTTCTGAGATTCTCAAGTTCCATGGTTTATTTTTTGCAGACATTGATGAGTGTGCCTTAAGAACTCACACCTGTTGGAATGATTCTGCCTGCATTAACTTGGCGGGGGGCTTTGACTGCCTCTGTCCCTCTGGACCCTCCTGCTCTGGTGACTGCCCCCATGAGGGAGGGCTGAAGCACAATGGACAGGTGTGGACCCTGAAAGAAGACAGGTGTTCTGTCTGTTCCTGCAAGGTGAGGCTGATGTGCTGTCRCAGAATTGTCATTGTTCTCTACCTTCCCCTTCACCTCTGCCTCCTCACAGCTCTCCCACTGGCTGTTGACCTGTGGCTCTCCTGTGGCTCCTGAAAAGGCTTCTCCTGTTCTAATCCACAATGCAACTAATGAGGATGCTGAAGGGCAGGCAAATCTCCCGTGAATTGATTGGTCTCTTGGTGAAAAGTGAGGTGTGGAGTTGACAAGAGACTGCACAAAGGGGTAGCAGGGGGCAGGGAAGTCAATGTTGATCCTCCACTGAGAGCCTGCAGGCCCTTTAAGGTTGTTGGGTGAGAGGTTTAATGAGCACTCCACCTACACTTACAGAAACTTGCTGATTAAAACAACTCTTTGTCTGCAACCATCTCCTGTGTGAACCTGCTCATTTTTGTGGTAACATCAGTCAAAATTCAAGGCTCACAGACTTGCCGCCTCGTGGTCAGAGACAGGTGGACTTCCATTCCAAACACATTATAGTGATAGTKCCTGGCCCCTTAGTAATTGATGTCTTCTTTATAATTTTCAGTGCTGGACTATTTATTACAGTAAGTTGTTTGGAAGGGAGTTTTAATGCTTATGAAAATAAAATTCTGTCATCATGTGGTTTTTACTTTATGCTTTGCAAAATGGGCCTATTAAAGTGTTTGACTTTCTTGTGCTTTACTTCTTTGTGAATCGCACATATTTATTTTCCTTTGTTATTGTACTACTGTAGTTCTTGCTTGTATTTCTGTGCCTATTCGGATGAGACTTGGGCTTAATTAATCTTGGGCTTTATGGGCATGGTAACCAAGAGAAATTACTTGCTTAGTTGCCTCTTTAAAAGTTAGGTCTACTGTAAATTCTTACTCTACTCCCTAGACACAGAGCTAGAATGAGCCTTAAGAATCTATCCTTCTACATTTAAKTCTGTCACACCTCAACAGACCTGAGGTAGCCTATGTAGTAGAGCTATATTACCAGGTCTGTACCCTATAACATTTGTTCCCCCCTCTTAAAATTACACTTCATTCTACACACAAAAATTTTTTCCCAGGATTTATTGAGCACATGCTATACTTCAAGAATCCTATAGTTATAAAAATAGCATCCTGTTTTAGTCTTTTAGCACAACTTTGAAAGATGAAGAAACAGTCTCTAGGGAGTCAAGTAATTGTCGTAAATATGGAATATTTATATAAGAACCTGCGTTCCACTGGCATACCCCAACATTGATAGTTTCTTCCATATTGTCAGATGTCTGTAACATTCTATAATGATACTCACTACTATCTTTTAAATTAAATAGGCAATCTGTCAATCCAATCTATTTGAACTAAAATTGTCAATTCAGCATTATCTTAGCAACTGTTGGGACATTCTTTCAAAAATGTTTTAGTTATTTAGTATAATATTTAGTAATGCAGTGCTGACTCAAAGGACAAAGGATTTCAAGAGGAAGAAAAGCACTTTATGGATTAATATAGTGGTGAAGGGTAAATGGAAGAAGTTAGCAATAGGGCCCCTGTTCAGCCATCAAAATGGGGATGAATTTAGTTTTTGAGAAAGAATTGTGTTTCCAAGGTTTTTGAGGATGGTTACAACCTGAACTGAAGTCCTTTTAAGATTTTCTAGGTCATCAGATCCTGAAATAGGCAAGGGACTTTAGTTGTATATTGACTACTGTGAGAGAGACCAAACTTCTCTTTTAAGTTTTTGTTTCATTTCAGTCCATGATAAAGCAAGGAACCTACCAATCATTAAAAATTTCCCAGGGCTTCATTAATTAACTGTGTTAATAATCCAAGCAGCCTGATTTATTTCATTTTGACTCCTAAAGTATCTCCAAAGTCTTATGAGAATTAGACTGAAATTGCCACAGGAGATGAGCAATTCTTATAATCTTATTTTGTTAATAAGATGCACCTCTATTACCACCACCATCTCCCTCTTATCTGAATAAAGTATTACGAAGATTTCCTTCCATAAATCTTTCTGTTGCTGTTGTTTCATTTTCTAATTGAATTCATTACCCATTTATAGAGAGCATCATTTTAGGAGCTGATAAAGCACCTCAAATCAATTCTAGAAGTCATCCTTATAAAATGAACTATTTGTGACCCTGCTTTTTGTTTTTAACATTTGCAGTCCAAACTGTCCCATTTCAATTTTACAAGAAATATCTCCAGTACTTAAGTATCCAAATGGACAATTGTCCWGGTATCATTTTGGAAGCTGTGAAATAAAATCAAGGTTACGATATAAAGTGTTCTCTTTTCAGTCCTATCCTTGATGCTTTAAATTCAAATTAAAACAAATCATACAGCACAGAATCACATAAGCTAACAAAGGATCAAGGGTCACTATTGAAAGGAGCAGAGTCAGAGTTCTTGTAAAAGGTCATCCCAACCACCTCCACAGAGTAAATACACCAGGTTAGTTAGTACTGTTTGATACCAACTGGAAGAAAGGCCTTGAAGYGTGTCCACAGATGAATGGAGTTCAGTGATAAAGCTAGGTCAGTAAAAATGGATTTGAGCTTTTGTTTAGATTCTTTGTGTTTTCTTTAGGGCACTTAGTTCATTGGGCACCAGGAGACTGGTTAAACTACCTRGAACCCATGTTCTTTCAGCATTATCTAGATCCCAGAAAACCAGGTGAAAAAGTTGTCTCTGGGTTTGGTACATACATCTCGGTTATAGCCCAGCTTCTTYTTATAGGTACCCATATGTGGCCTTTCCATTCATAAATTGGTCCAGGGCCTTTGAAAAATCATATTTATATTCTATTTTGGTTACATGGAAAGGTAACAAGGTCCTAGGTTTATTAGTTCCTATGAAATGCAGCATTTTATTATAACTATTTGTGTTCTTATTGGGGATCATGGAGATGGAGAAGGAAGTGGATATATAATTAAACACCTGTCACTCTGTTAAAGTCTGAGTCATTGCTATGGGAATATAGAAAATGAAAGGTATATTGTGAGAGAATGAAAAAGGAAATATAGGAAGGCTTCACAGAGAAGATAACCCTGAATAGGATCCTAAAGAGAAATTTAGCTCAGGAGAGAAGTGAATTCCAAACAGAAAAAACCATACCAGCGAACATGCAGAAGCATAAGAATATATGTTATGCTAGATGTAAGAAGAAAATTATGGGATACAGGGCAAAGTATGGGAAGGGAATAGTTGATCATGAGCCTAGAGATAAAGGCTGGAGATGGAGTAGGGCATGAATATGTCATCCTGTAGGCAGCAAAGGATTATGATTGGGATGCCTTGTTATTGGTCTGATTGACAGCATGATAGATGGCCTGAGGAGTTTGAAGCTAACTAGAAAGAACCACTTAGACTGAGATAAAGGGTCAAGAAAGTGAAGGTTAAAATCTGAAAGAGGAACTGTCAGGTGAGATCACATGAGAGAAAACACAGAAGTGAAATAATGTGTTTTGATAACTGATTATGTCAGAGACTGAGCTTCTGTTATTATGGCTTCTCTATTTTGGGGGCAAAAAAAAATCTTCATAGAGGTTTGAGACTTAGCTTTTTTCCTAGGTGAATAGAATCTATGTACCACTAATAGAAAGCCAAGGTTTGTAAGTTGGGCATTTTTACATTTGATGTTAGCTTCTATTACATCTACTCCTCCATGTACACGTTATATYCACAGCTACTACCATGGTAGGCCACTCTGTTTATTATTTCTTTCACTATTTTCAGTTAACCATAGTCAATCACAGTTCAAAATTATCAAATTGAAAATTCTAGAAATAAAAAGTTCATAAACTTTAAATTGCCTGTTGTTCCAAGTAGAAAGCTGAATGCTTGCACTATCCTRCTCCATATAGCCTAGGATGTGAATTATGGCATCATCCAGGGTATCTATGGTGTATATGCTACCTGCCCATTAATCTCTTGGTAGYCATCATGGTTATCAGATAGACTTTGGTGGTATTATAGTGCTTGTGTTCCAAAACATCTTGTGTTAGAGCCTAAGACTATATTACAATACTATTTTTGTTTACTTCATATAATCATCTCATCTTGTGGCATAGTATCACCTCACATCACCACAAAAAGTATAAGTACATCACAATAAGATATTTGGAGCAAGAGAGACTGTATTCATATAACTTTTATTACAGTATATTTTTATGTTGTTTTGTTATTATAATCTCTTACAGTACCTAATTTAGAAATTAAACTTTACTATAGGTATGTATGTATAGTAAGAACAATATATATGAGATTTTGAACTATCCATGGTTTCAGACATCCACTGGAAGTCTTTGAATGTATCTTCCATGGATTATGGGGAACCACTGTGGTATCATTAATAACTGGAAAATCTGGTGAAAGAAAGGGGAAATAAAAYTATCAAGGCTAGATTTCATTTATTTGCTTTTATTCAGGTTTTTTAAAAGTGAATAACATTCATTCTCTAACTAAATCCTAAATACTAGAGCAGAACCAAGTCTTGAGTTTTTCTGGGAACTATAAAAATGAGTATTGAAAGGGATACCATAAATAGCAAATCATCTATCTTAATAAAACCACAAACTTCTRTGATAGCACAGAAAACGAGGGTGAAATGGAGAAAATCTTGGACATGAGGCTCTCTGAAATGATGACTGTTTCCCCTGACTTTATTTGAACTTTTTCTCAGACACTGAGGAAGGTAACCATACTAGCAACACCTAAAGGACTCAAGCATCTCTTTCTAACAAAAAGAGAAGACACTGGTCTGCAAGGAGCTATCAAAAAAATGACCCTTCCATCTTAATTGTACTCACTCATGGTATGAAGATGAGAGATGAGTCAGTMTGTGCCTGGGGCCAGGGTAAATAAATTAGGTATTAGATTCCTGCATCCTACTCATAAAGATATTTCACTTTGTTCTTTGAACTTGACCAGGAACATTATCAATACCTTGTTGTTTATAGTGCTTTTGATGGCAACACTTGGATGTTCAGGCCTCAGATCATGTTTCTCATTTTTTCAAAGGTGAACATATTGACAGGTTTTATTGAGCTCCCAAATCTCTAGAGGTTTAGTCAGAATACAGGATCTCCATTTCTGTTTCACCAACTTTATTCTCCTAGGGTAATGTTCCAGATCCCTCCTTTTAATTGTAAGAGGCTGAGAGTCATAACATGATAAATTCTCAGTTGATCAGGTTGGGTTGTTCCCCCCSCTATGGTTCTGAGACTTTTCTTACTCCACAGTCACGTAACGGGCTGTGAATCCCCAATCACTGGCGTCTCCCCCAAGAATTTGTGGTTCAGTAGTTTTAGGGTGGAGCATGATAATTTGCACTTCTAACTAGTTTCTAGGGGATACTAATGTTCCTGGTTGGAGGACTGTACTTAGAGAATTACTACCTCAAGAATCCTTCTGGTCTCATTTTAGCTGAAATCATTTTTTCCTACCCTCCATCATTCTCTAGATACAAGAATGTGTAGYGGTAGAAAACCATTGTTATAAAAGCCAGATTGGGTCTAGATTCTATTTTGTTATTAATTTCTACATGGAAAAGTCATTTCCCCCTCACTGGGCCTAGTTTCCTGCTTTATTAAAATGATCATCAAAGATGTTTTGATCCTAGGAACTAATAAGAAATACTAAAAAACAATTCGTGAGCTATGCTGTGACCTAATGGCAAAATTAACACTTGGTTTAAAAAAAAAAAAAAGATTGGAAAGCACAGCCTGACTCATGTGAGGAGGGATAAAAATAGGTTTGGAGCACTACTCCTAATTTTACCTAATTTATAGTTTATACCAAGGATCAAYAGACTTTTTTCTATTGAAGGACAGGAGTAAATATTTTAAGCTTTGCAGATCATAAAATCTCTGTCCCAAATACTCAGTTCTGCATTGTAATGCTAAAGTAGCCAAAGACAATATGTCAATGAATGAGGGAAGCTATGTTCCCATAAGACTATTTTCAGAAGCTGGCAACAGGCTGAATTTGGACTTGGACATCAGTTTGCCAACATCCAGTTTATATTTTTATTCAGTTTACCTAAATAATTTCACCTAAGTCCACCTCCTTGATTTAAAGTTTTCAGAACTCAATGGCAGAAAAAAAAATGCCATATTATGTTATCTGGAGTATTGCTACAACTGTGTCAAATATGCAGTTTAAAAATGTATAATTTATAATACAAAATCTATAATTTCCATGGCATAATAAAAATAAATCATTTTAAAAATTTCTACCAAATTATATGCCCCCTGTTTTCAAAAATTCAGAAAATGTACATAAATATTATGATACTTACAGTTTACAGTTGAGCTTTCATTATAAAACTGAGTGAAAAGACTTAGCTTCTGAGGCAGAAGAGAGGGGAAATAAGATCTTTGGAATTGGAATTGGGATTGATCTGTCCAACGCAGCTGGGAAAGAAGTCCAACTCTGGGAAGTGACCCAGTGGTCTGTGGCAAGAGGGCCGACTCACCATGGTAGGCTCCATTCCCTTCCCATATTTGGTTTCCTGTGTGGTTGTGCACTGTGAACTGTGCTGTCCTAATCATGTTCTCATTGAATTCATGGAGGCACCTGTGACATTTTMATTCTTAAAAAATGTTTTTTCTTGACAGCTACCCGTAATTCAAAGCCAAAGTGAACATAGCCATTGTTCTGAAACACCATAGAAGCTAAGAAGGGCCCATTTGGTATTTTCACATAATTGATGAGATAGGAAATTGCTTTATTTTGCACTTACTCTGGAGGCTATCCATTCATTTTTATTCCCTTGTATTTAATCAGCACATGGCAAGAAACCTGRCATTCTGATTGGGTCCCTTAGCCAAAAGTATAGTAAACTCTTCCAAGAGAATTTATCCTCTTATTTGATGCTGGGCTTTGGACTTGGGCATGTTGGTTCCTGGGGCTTAGTCCTTCTCTCCTTGGGAAGAGTCTTATAGTGCCATAGACAATGGAGCTGACAAAATGGTTTCTTGTTGTTGCTCATTACATTTCTTAGCTTTGGTTGGATAAAATGAATTCCCAGGAAATCATTTGGGGTCATGACTTCATAAGGTAGAGGAGTGAATTAAAGTAATGTTTAGCTGTAAGCCAAAAGACTATTGTTAGAAGTTTCTTGGAATCTGGATACCTCTTTGTCCAAGCTACATGAATTCTCTGACCTCTGAGTCTCTTTTCTCTCTCAATCTGTATACATTCTTGCAAACACACAAGTATCTCTATGTGTATTATCTCTCATTTCCTGATATTTTCAGAATACTGTGACTTCTTTGCATTCTCTATAGTATAGACAATAATACAATTTGAGGGAAAGCATTTTTTCCAACTATTAAGTCATTACATATGTAGCTAGTATCTCCTTTTCATTCTCTATAAAGAATGTAAAGCTTTCTAAAGCTTTCCACTTTAGCTGACACTACATTTATCTTAGGAAGCCCTGTCTGATGCAGCATTGTTAGTTATGAAGCAGATGAAGACCCTGAGGGCAGGTCCATCAAGTCTGCAGATGTCACTAAGCTGTGAAGGAAGGCATTCATGCTGTATGACAGAAACAGCATTTAAAAAACATTGTGGCAGGAAGAAGAGATGAGATGGATCTAACAAAGTGCAATGCAGTAGGGATAAACACCAAGTAATATATTTGCTGACCCTAAACAACCAAACTTACATGATGGAATAGGGCTTACTGAGGGGTTAATCTTAATTAAGTTTAATACAAGTCAACACTATGACATAACCAATAAATATTGAAATCAGGCTGAAAAGAAAGAACAGCACATAACAAAGTGACATGCATCCCGATTCACTCCATGTTATTGAAGGCTTATATTTAGTTCTCTCTCAGCTCCCTTATTTGAGAAATGAAGACAGGAATTTCTGTTTCACATATTATACACATAAATGACATAGCTTATGTATGGCAGAAGATATGTGTTCGGTTTTATGGTAGGTGATTGATGATGGTGATGATAGAAAACACTCAAAAGTGTAGAAGGAGACAGCAGTTTTGAGAGCAAAAGAATTGAACATGGTGTGGACTGGTCAAGGAGTTGGAGATGTTTAAGCCAGAGATGAGACAGCTCTGTGGATATATAAGAACTATTTTGTAAGAACTGAAGAGTTGGAATATGATAGAAGGTATTGGGGGTTCTATGATTATCGAGGGTATTAATCAAGATSCATGGGAAGAGAGAGAGAGTCCAACTATCAACATTAAGATACAAAGATACACACTTGGCCTCCCACAGTGATGACTTCTGCAGGATAGGAAAGYGTCAATCATAGTCTTGATTTTTAAATATGGTTGTATGGAGAAGGCTGGTTACACATGCTTTAAGGTGACTATCAGCCCGGAGATTCTTTAGTTTTGTAAATATTTGACAAAGTAAGATATAACCATAAGGCCACAGGTCTTACTTTATAGACATGAAATGAGACATGGTATAGAATGTTCAGTCTTAATGTTTAAGTGTTGTTGATCTTTAATGCTGATAACTCTGAGTCCTCAATTGCTTCCAAATGAAAGGTGGTTTTGATTATGGTTTTCTTTTTTCCTAAAAGTCTACTTAAAGGCTGCCTTACAGTAGAAAATTTGTTTTAAAACCACAGGACCTTGTGACGCTTTTTTGAGGTGCTACTCTCTGTGATCTTGGGTTAGAAATTTAGCCTTCTGGGCCTCAGTTAACTCTTCTGTACAAAGGGCACAATAAGAATTCCTAGTAGAATTGGAACAGGGATAAAATTAGATAAAATTTGAATTGTTAGGTGAGAAAAGCAGTAGCATGATTTTTCCACTCAAATGAGTTCTTGACTAGGTAGGTGTTTTGAACTGCTTTGTTTAGCTGTAATTCTTATTCAGAAATATGGTTTTTAAGGAAACATTGAGGAAAAAAATAATTTTCAAAGAACATATTGACTTCTTTGTTGAACTTAGCAGTGTCCCTATTTGCCTTGGGTGACTCCTCAGAAAAGGGCAAAAAAACAGGATATTTGCAAGGGCATGTAAACATCCATCTGTTTTGAACAAAAGGGAGGTGGCTGGGGAGGGCAATGACTMGAGGAAATCTTTTCTGTCAGCTCTGTAAAGCATTTAGAAGGTTAGGTTTCTATAATGTTGCTTTCCCATCATTTCCCTAATGATGAAACCTCCTTAACCTCATTTCTAAACAGGACGGGAAGATATTCTGCCGACGGACAGCTTGTGATTGCCAGAATCCAAGTGTTGACCTTTTCTGTTGCCCAGAGTGCGACACCAGAGTCACAAGTCAATGTTTAGATCAAAATGGACATAAGCTGTATCGAAGTGGAGACAATTGGACCCACAGCTGCCAGCAGTGTCGGTGTCTGGTATGTCAGCTTGCTGTAGATGGTGACATCCTGTACTATGGAAGAGTTTATAAACTCAGGGGTTAGAAATTTGGCTGGTTCCCAACTCCTTCTGTTACCTTGGAGGGAGTTTTGGGGCTATGGCTAMCCAAGGGGCATATGCTCTGCCTGAAGACATTCAGATTGTATGTAAAACACTGTGCAGAACAAAAACAACATATTTATAGAACAGATTTGACCTAAGCAATGTTAGTTTACAGGTATTATTTCTTAGGAAGTCCGTATCCAGAAAAATCCCTGCACGATAGATAATTTTCAAAGCATTTTCTGATACTTATGGTCTTTATAGAGCCCAATTTTTATTTCTTCTTCCATAAGCATGGGATGTTTTGACATGAGATGTAACTCAATATAGTAGAAATACCAGAGAGATTGAATGATAGAGACCTAGAATACAATTCAGATTCTCTCATGTGCTAGCTCAGTATGATGACGTTGGGCAGGTCTTATCTATTCACTCATCATTCTTTTCCTCAAATGTGCATAGTTGTATGAATAGCTGTTTCATAGGACTCTTAGGTATGTGAAAGACAAATACAGTACTTGACACATAGACAGCACTTAACATGGTTGCTACATTGTTAGTTATTTCCTACCTTCAAAAATCAGTTTCAGAGGCCAAACATCCATGTAGACAAATGGAGGTTGCCTTAGATATTAATATAAGGACATTAATAGTATAATGAAGTTTCAGAAGTCCAGAGAAAAGGCTTGATATCTGGACCTAATTCATTCTGTTTCAAAGTATACCACTAACCATGATTTCCAAGGATAGGAAGGCTTTTAGGACATATTTTTTTTCCATGAATGTGGTGTTTTATCTGTGGGTAGGTTTACAACTATGGATAATTCTGCATGAGTCAACTTGAAATGGACACTCTTAGCTGGAGTTTTAACATTTGTTGAAGTATGAATGCTATATGTGTACTAGACAAGTACTCTACAGAAACACACATTCAGAAAAAACTATACTTTAAATTTCCATCAAATTTTCTGAAGTCTCCAGGCAAAATGTGCAGATCATCTTAATAACATAATCCTTGTATTAGGACTGTATTAGTCCTTTAATTTTGAGGATTATAACTCAGAAATTCAAATTGCAGTGGCTGGGGTTGTGACTCATCAGCACAGTGCTCACCTAGCACATGCAAAGTGCTGGGTTCGATACTCAGAACCACATAAAAATAAATACATAAAATAAAGGTATTGTGTCCAACTACAACTAAGAAAAAAATTTAAAAAAGAAATTCAAATTGCAGCAAACATTTTTTTTCAAATCCTCATCTAAGGATGAACATATCCAATATGACTATAAGATTGGCTTCCATACCAGCCTGGGATACTGCATATCTTTTTTCTAGAAGCCAATAATTGGGTAGCCAGAAGAATTGGTATTAATTTTATATATGGAATTTTCACATATAGAATTTCAAAACATATATTCTGTCCCCAGTCTCAATAAAACAGAAGGTGTTGAACATTAACTTAAAAATTACTTGAAAATGATGTGGGTCATATTTAATAAATATTTATCAGGACTTTGCCTGTGTCAGACTCTGGATAATAGTGAGTGAAACAAAAATGATCTATATCTGTAAAAGCCTAGAGTCTTGTAAAGCTGACTGAATAATTAGTTACCATGTGTTATAATAAGTGTCATGATAACGGAAAAAAGAGGCTGCAGAGAGAAGCAGTTCTATTACAAGGAGCTCAGTGGAGTCCCAGTTGGCAGATGCTGAGACACATAGATAGAAATTCCATTTAAACTGAAAAATAGTTTTTTGAATGAAGCTGAAAACTTTTTTGAAATGGTTCTTCTGAAAATGCCCAACTTCAACTTTAAATTTGTTACTGGCAACATTTTAGTCARCTGTTTTATTGCTGTGACTAAAAGACTTGACAAGAACAATTTTAAGAAGGAAAAGTTAATTTGGTCGGCTCAGGGTTTCAGAGGTCTCAGCTCACAGACAGCTGGATGCATTCCCCAGGACTTAGAGTAAGGCTGAACATCATGGCAAAAGTGTGTGGCAGAGGAAAACATTGGGGGACTTGGTACCAGGAAGGAGAAAGATGGGGCTCTTTGTTGAACAAGGACAAAATATATATCCCAAAGGCCTGCCTCCAGGGACCCACCTCCTCCAGCCATAACCTACCTGCCCATAGTTACCACCCAGTGAATCCCTGCCAGGGTAACACACTGATTAGGTTAAGACTGTCATAACACAATCATTTCAYGTCTAAACTTTCTCGCAAAGTCTTACACATGAGCTTTGGGGGATACCTCATATCTAAACCATAACATAATCAGTTTATGAAGTTGTTGGGATATTATATTTCATGTTCTACTTTTGACCTTAAGTGAAATTAGTATCTCTTACCACCATATTTATTTATTCATTTTATTATTATTTCTTCACCAAAAGTGTGCTAAATATAAGGAAGAAAAAGAAACTAGCCCAAATCCTGAAATTTCAAAACTTAATGAGAAACAGTACTGATGATTATGATATAATCATAGTATCATACTAAAAATAATGATGGGCTGTGTTTGACACACAGAGAAGCTGACCTAACTSTTTCTATAGACCACAGAAAGAGCAAAGACCATCAACAAAGGCATCCTGAAGAAGGTTGATAACTGTAGTTGTCTTTAAGAGGGAAACCCACTAGTGTGCTAACCAGTAACTTTCAATGACGAGAATGGTGAAAATCACTGTGCTCTCTTTCCCCCCTCATAGGACTTTGGGATAAAATTGTGCCTAGGAACCATGATGCGTCATTCTTGGCTTTCTCTCCACAGGAAGGAGAGGTAGATTGCTGGCCACTCGCTTGCCCCAATTTGAGCTGTGAATACACAGCCATGTTGGAAGGGGAGTGCTGTCCCCGCTGTGTCAGTGACCCCTGCCTGGCTGATCACATTGCCTATGATATCAGGAAAACTTGCCTGGACAGCTACGGTGTTTCTAGACTCAGTGGTGCAGTATGGACCATGGCCGGATCTCCCTGCACAACCTGTAAATGCAAGGTAAATTGGGTGCCCTGAAATGTTCAGGCTTGAACAGTTTATCAGAACATCTGCAGGAGGTTTACTCTGGTTTCTGAGTGTGTAGGTTCCATGGGGCCTTGTGGACACAGGCCTTTACATCCCACAGGATGTTCRTATATCTGAATGGATCATGGCTGCACCTTGTATAAAGGCTAGTTCCAAATGAACAATGTAGAATAAAACAGTCTGGCTTGATTTTAAATTGCAGAACGTTAACAACTGACTCAGCCCAATTTTATGCCCTTTTGACCTGTATGTTAGAAAAAGAAAGAAAGAAAATGTAAGAAATGAAGAGAGAAAGAAAAAATATCTACTTCCTTTCATGCTGGAAAATTTTATGAGTTCCTTCATGAAACTGTCAATGATAGAAAAAAAAACACTATTCTGTGATGATGGTCATTCTGTTTAATTATCAAAGTGCCCATTGGGGAATGCCTTAATGATTAATGTTATTAATGTGAATTTCTTTTTTCTAACCTGGAAAATATTATCTGAAGATGTTGCCCCAGTAGGACAAGGATAATATCAGACTTCACATAGCAAGAGAGCTATGGCCCCATTTGTACCCTCCACCAGAGCAAACCAAGTGACCAGGCTACATTAACACTTGTATTATTTAATATTATTTTTGATATCATATTTGAGAATTATTAAACAAAATTATGAAAGCACATTGAGATTATTATATGAATTTGATTCTTAATGAATTCTCAAAAATGTATACAACTGGATAAGCACAATCTCCTTCTTAATCATCATATGAGACATTATATTGATCCCTAAGATGCATGCCTTTCTGGAACCCATCTTGGATTTGTCTTCAGATTCTTGTGATGCTTGATTAGCCCTTTAAGAGGCAAGTCATCATCATTAAGAGATTTGTTTTTGGAAAGAATCTTATTTGGAATAAGTCTAGTCTAAATAAGTTTTGTGAAAACTTGGCTTGGTGGGTCAGTATGTCAAGCATACATTGAGTGTGTAAGTAAGGCCATATGTGGCCCTGCCAGCAGAACCCCAGCAAGAGGAGACCCTGCAGGGTTGATCCATGCTTCCTTCCCTTTCATTCCTTCATAAGTGCTTTTGTAGCATCCTTTTAAAATRAAGATTGCAGACTCCTTGCTGATGGACTTACATGTCTCCCTACATTAACACTTGTGTCCTTTTTGTACAGAATGGGAGAATCTGCTGTTCTGTGGATTTGGAGTGTCTTCAAAATAACTGAAGTATTTTAAATGGACTCATCACAGGAGAAAAAATGGACAAAATGATCATCCAACATGATGAAAAATAAGAGTTGATTTTTTTAACCACAATTACCAAAGTCTCCATTGGAGGAAGGTGTTTGGGGGTCGCCTCGTAGACCTGCCACTTTGCTCATTCTTGCTAACCTAGTCTAGGTGACCTACAGTGCAGTGCATTTAAGTCTATGGTTGTTAAGAGAAGTCCCCGGTGTTGTAAATCACATTTCCCTTATCAGATCATTTGCAAACACATTTAAATGATCTCATGGTAAATGTTGATGTATTTTTTGATTTATTTTGTGTACTAACATAATAGAGACTCAGCACCATTTATTTATTTATTTTTCTTGATTTTTGGATCAAATTCTAAAAAAAAAAAATAAAGTTGCCTGTTGTGATATTGTCCCATCCACTGTATACTGTGAAATGTATTGAAAAAAATATCTATGTGGAGTYCAATTGCATCATACTTATATTTCAAACTGTTGAACAGAATTAGAGACCCACTCATCCAGCTTAAGCATGCCCAAGGCAATTTTGATACCTTAAAGTGGGGAAGGACTCCAAMCACAATTCAATAGTTATTTAGAAAAGGACTCTATCCTCCTTTCTGMAAATAAAAAAGAAAAAGAAAAAGAAAAAATAAATACAAAATGTTAACTTGCAATTTAGAAGCAGCAATGCTTAAAACCTTTTTTTAGCAGTGAAAGCAAAAATATCTTTGCATTGGTTTTATGTATAATTTCRTAACTAATAAACAACTTTAAGAGTTATTGATGTAAGTTATCATCATAGTACAGGTGAATAGGATTATCCCTCTATTATATACACATGCACTTGAGAGTCTGATCAACCAGCTTTTTCAGTGTTAGTTGATTTACAGCAAGCCCCCCAATTCTTTTCCAGTACTGTTTTATAGTAAAACACATTGCCTTTCATATGGAGAAAGGGGACACTTGAAAAAATCTATTCGTGTGCTCTGTTACTTTAGAACAATGAATACCTCCACATAAGCCAGTACAATAGTTTTAAAACTTGAAAAGCTATTAAGTTATATAAAATTAACAAAATATGTAATGACATTTTAACTGAGCTGAGAATTCAAACTTTGGTTTTACTTTCAGATAAATTACATCTTCTTCTGGATTAAGTTAGTTCAAGGGTTTTCTGCTCATTCTTCCAACATCAAAACATCTTACCTTGTTATGTCAGTCATGCTAAAAAYATTTAAATCCTAAAATAATTATTAGCTTAAAATTATGATCTTCAATCAATATTATTATTGGTTTTTGTCCAATAGATAATATTTTTGTAAAAATGAAGTTCACTAATGAAATCAAGTTCATGTTATATATGATAAAAGCAGTTGAAATACTACATCTGTCAAAGACTGATATAATGTGATAAATTAGAGAACATTTCTATTTTAATTTAATTCCTTAAATGAAAGCTTGGAGTGAAGAATTTGAAGATTACTCTTTTGAAAATATTAATGACTATCCAATTAAAAGAACTTCCAATATTGGTGGTAAAATGAGGACATTTACAATAATTGTTTGTGATTTTATATATCTGGAATTGTATATAGTGGAACTATGGACCCATGTGTCAAAACCAACCCTTTTCCTATTTGGAACACAGATAGGTCTGTCCATTAATAGGTTTTCTACAGTTGTAGAGATAGAAAGGCAGAGTTGGGTGGTTCCCATAAATACCTTGTTGTTCACAAAGCCAAAACTGTTATTATGTTTTCCTGTGCAGGAAACCTTTATGTATCTCTGATATAGATGATGACTGCATACTGTTGTGTATTTGAGAAGTGTTTCCACTTTTTTTCCCAAGGCATTCTCAAAGCTCAACAGGTTTTTTAAAATTTGTATATGTTCTTACTTTATTACAGTTCCATTAGGATTGGTGGCAACATCCTAAAATACTCTGATTTTACAAATACAATCATAAGACTCAATATTTTCTTCTTTCCACTTGAGAACTGATGGGGTAAATTTAATCTGGGGCAACTTGTTGACAACATGTTATTGGTATTTCTAGCACATTTTAAACCACTGCCAGTTCCTCTTAATAAGGTATATACACCTATAAAACAATGGATTAGATTCACTTTTTAAATAATGATTGAGTCAGGAAGGGTGTTGCATACCTATAGTCCCCATCACTCAGGGCGCTGAGATGAGAGGCTTCCTTGAGCCCATGAGTTTGAGAMCAGCCTGCACAACATAATAAGACCTTATGAACACCCCCTCTTTATATATAAGGTACTTTATATATAAGGTACATGCTMTTCTCTACTGAAGAAATGAAAAGATAAATAAAACAGAACCTTATTTTAAAGATAAGCATTATGTGGACCTTCAGAAGGTACTAACAATCTTTGAACCCATTTAGATGTTCTAAGAAAATATGATACTACCTGAAATATGTTCTTAACCATGAAATTTTAAAAGTTACTTTTTAAAAGTTTGGGGCCTGGGAATATGATTTAGTGATAGAGCATTTAACTAGTGTATGGGCCCCACAGGATTCAATCCCCAGCACTGTAAAAACAAATATACACAAATAAATAAAAATCTGGTAARTCTCCTGATAAGAATATGTTTAGCTACCATGCAACAATTTGCAATGTAAAATTGGTGTCCATTTAATGAGCCAAAGTGATRTTTGACAAATCTGTCTCCTTACAGACCACAAMCATTGCCTGTACTACCTTGAACACAAAGATGCTGACATAATAAGGGCAAGAAATATGAAAAAAAGCACATGAGCAATTGCAACTATCCTCCCAGTGTTCCTAGCTGGAAAGGCTTGTGACTCAGGAGAGTAGATTATTAAGGCAAATGAAAGTTCTGTGTTAGACACATGTCTATTAAACACTCATTTGCTTCATTCTTTCTAGGTTGCATATGAACAGATATATGTGCACATATAACAGATTTGTTATACAAAAGTTGCATATGGACATATATAATATTCACTTGCAACCTGTAATGCATATTTATATTACATATATTCATATGCAACATGCATATATACATACATGACAACTATCTTAAGTTTCCTCTCTTCTGAACTTTATGTGTCTGTGCTTATGTCACTGTTATGTCCTTCTAATACACATTTACCTTGTATTATGGTAATCTTAGACTAGGTAAGGCTATAAACCAACTGTGTATGGATATCAACTTACAGCATTTAACATAGTGCCTTGCATAGAATGAATTTTCAATTAAGTCTTTAAGTATTGAATTCATATTTTTCTTATCATAAAAAATACCATGGGATATTGAAAACAATCTACCCTAGCAGATTTCAAATGCTCTTAAGTACTAAGAACTAATTGAAAAAAATCAAAATTTATTGAGCTCTCCAACATAAAAACTGAATTAAAGCAAGGTTTCTCTGGATAGATTGGGGGTGTAGTGGTAGGGCATTTGGGACGCCTTCACATACTTGACCCCAGCTTATAGCTTTCAACAGAGCACAGCTGGACAGCTATTCGACTAACTCCTCAAATATACTTCTATGGATGAGTAAGCCAGCACTCAGTGTAGCTAAGTGAYTTGTGCCCGGAGTTCACAACTAATTAATCATAGAAAAATAGGTCTGTTTATCCCCATGCCAGATTTCCAAGAATTCAAAATGTATATCTACATTTCAATTTCAAGATAACTTTTCCTACTCCTAAGTGGATGACATTAAAGACAATCATGGATGAGATATTGTATCTGTTATTGTCTCTGTGTTCTATCTCCCTTCTAATTGTGCTACTGCTTTATGAAAATCTTCATGATGGTTTTGTGAAACATTCAGATTACAAGACTGGACAACATTTTCAAATGCAGAATAACAATAAGCCACTTACTCAATCACCTAATCTCAGTCTTTATGGGTAAACATTAAGGAAAAGTAAAACAGTTTCCAAAACCAAATATTTCTTAAGACTTACACACACCAGCATGTGATGAAATATGGCATTGGATGGAATTCCTACATAGATAATTTTATTTCTGATTTCATTATTCATTCACCATTTATTCTATCATTAAGACAGTGACAATATAGCAGGCTCTTCAGATACAGAGATGAATAAGACAAAATTGGTCACTATCCTTATGGCATTTRTAACAATGTGCAAAAGAAGTAAACTAGAAAATATTTACTTGAGCAATATAATATCAGGCTATATTAATACTAGGAAGAAAATAAGTGAATTTAAAAAATGGAGATGAACTGGAGAATCTCACTTCAAAATAATCAAGAAAAATTTCTAAATGGGGGTGATAAGCAAGGAGGGATGGAGAATGTGGAGTAGCCACCTGTGCACAAAGCTGTGGGAATATCTCCCAATCAAAAGAAGTAAAGGCTAAAGACTGCAGGATAAAGACACTAGGTACGTGAAGGTCATGAGTGGAACCGAAGGCTAAGTAAAAGAGCAAAGATATGAGGTTGCAGGAGTTGACTAGAGCTGGACATTACAGRCCATGATAATGTGAAGGCCCTGGTCATTCTGGGAAATGAAAACATCAGTGGGAAGTTACTAAAGGAGTAAGCATTTATTTAMTCACCTTTTCATTCATTCACATATTTGTGCCTTTTTAGATATCAATTAGTCTATATTTACTATTCTGAAAACATGAAACTCCTGTTATGTACCTAGGAAAAATATCAGTGAGAACAATATTTTTCYGTTAGAAATTGGAGCTCTGCACTGTGCTATCACAAAGCAATCAAACTACATAAGATGGCATGTCCAGAAATAAGGTCAAGGAATACATCAAAAACTGGATCTGTAACTTTTTTTTTTTGCCTCTGCAGTGCCCTCATTTAAATAATTAGTTCTTGACCATTTGAATCATAGTAAGTTCAGTAGTTTGTGACAGTGATATCATCTTGGCTTATAAATACAAGTGCAGGGTAATAGAACACTGAAGAGGATAAGAGTCTGTTGGATTAATCTAGAATAGTAACAACAAACACTATCCTTAGAACAGTGCTAGAATGTAGTAGCCAACGCCCCAAGTCTYACCAAATAAGACAAAACTTTGGTGAGAAATKATTTAGGTTACTATAAAAATGATACATACCTAATTTTTTTCAGAAACTTTTTAATACCTGAAGGTGATAAAAAAATTTTAAGGTAAGAGGAATTTATAATTGAGACAAAGCAATAATTAGAAACTAAAATATCAGAAAGATTTAAACATGTGAAAATGCAAATTTACCTGAAGAAACTGGCAGTTGATATGCCAATCTCATAAGATAAATGATATTTCCCAAATTTTGTTATATTTTAGCTCTATCGCTTTGAAAATKAAGGTGAAGGCAGTGAGAATATGTCTTTTAAATGCAAAATAAAATACATTAATTTATCAAAAATATCCAACAGTAACTTCAGCCCCTTAGGAAACTTGAAGACATTTTGAAGAAAACAGACCCAAATCTGGTATACTAYATGTTTAATGATCGAAAATAGTGCAGTATAGTCTTCAATCATGTTTGCAGAAAGAGCTGAAAGGATTCTGTGCAGACAAGGCAGTCCCAGGGAAGAATTTATCTTAGGTGATTTTATGTAGGAGGTTTTAAAA